TAAAGAGAAAAGCTGCAAAGAATATTTGGTATTAGTAAAGGGATGTGCTAAAAGGAACTCAGGCGAAAAAGTGCTTCATTCTATCTAAATATTGTTTGATTATCTGCTGTGTTTTAGAATTCGCTGGTGCTGGGCGGGTGGCACACCTGTGATCCCTGCACTCAAGCAGACACAGGAGGGTCTTGAGTTCAAGGCCAGCCTGGTCTACAAAGCAAGTCCAGGACAGCCAAGGCTACACAGAAAAACCCTGTCTCAAAAACAAACAAACAAAGAATTCATCAGGTGTGTAGCTCATGCCTTTAATCACAGAACAGGCAGAGGCAGGAAGATCTCTGAGTTTGAGGCCAGCCTTGGCCAGAGTCTAGGACAGCCAGGGGTATTACACAGAAAAACCTTTTTGAGAGAGAGAGATCATGAGGAATCAATAATTACAGTTGGTGTAGTAGCACACACCTTTAATCCCAGCACTTGGGAGGTAGTGATAGGTAGATCAGTTTGAGCTTCAAGCCAGTCAGGGCTACGCAATGAGACCATGTCTTACAAGAAAGAAATTCATGATAGGAGAACTTTCTTTACATTTTTTAATTTTCCAGAGGTTTTTCCACTCATTTTTCCTTATTCAGTGTCCTCCAATGATTGCCAAGTAAATGGCACATGTGTTAGCTGGGATAAAGTATGGCTACTGCAGACTTTTAGTTGTTGAAAAACAGTTGATGTTCTTATGTAAGGATGCCCAGGTGATGCAGCTTTGGTCAGTGGCATTTCACAGCCTAAATGCCAACTCTGTAAATTAAATCTGCCAAGTGCCACCTTTGCCATAGGATGCTTTGCCAACCTCTAACATTTACTTATATTCTGCTCTTTTCCTCTAGCCACACTAAATTCTTCTTTCCTAAGCTATTTTTTGCTTCCTTTCAGACTGGCATAATTCAGCATGTTCTAGACAGTCACATGGAAATTAAAGACCTGCAGATTTCCAGTTCCCAAATGATCTGTATTCAGGCTGCAGAACCACAAGAAAAAATTTTGCCAGGTTTTCTAAAAATAATACTCTCAAACTAGATTTCTTCAGGTACCAGAATGTGAACTACAGGATATGAAAGTGCTAAATTGTGTGGAGCCACAGTAAAAACTTTTCAGCCTGAAGGAAATTATTTTATCACAATGTGAAAAAGACTATCCTCTTGATCTGCCTTGTCATAGCTTGATGTGCACACTAAACTCCCAAGGAAGTATTCTTTACATTAAATAGCAAAGCTGGTTTGAAGACTAGATGAGCAATTTTGAGGTTTGCATTTAAACTTGACAAGGGAAAGAATGCTTATAATGCAAATTGGAATTTTCTTTAACTCTTTAAAGTGTTGAATTCCTGGCTTGGTTTAATTTTAGAAACTGTTACCTCTAATGATTGTATCTGAAAATTTAATATCTTCACTTTAGCCAGGCATGTTAAGATACACCTGGAATATTATTATTTGGGAGTAGAATGAAAAAAGACCAAGACCTCAAGGTTAGTGGCAGCTCTAGACTGAGTCTAAGGTCAACCTACTCCACACAAGAAGACTTTATCTCGAAAAGAAACTCGACAAAAACCACAAAGCCCGAAAAGATGTTTAATATTGATCCACTTGAGTTCATTTATGAGCCTTCCTGTCTATGACATCCTCCTATAACTGAAAGTTCCTATCTTGTCTGACTGGATATAAAACACAATAGTCTACATATCATAGACCCATTGGTCTGTGGACTTGGTATTGAGGTTAGATTCCTTGAAAAGTTTATGGCCACAAACTTAGCTCTTCACTGGAAAATGCTGTCTAAAATTCATTCCGTCAGGAATTTTGACATAGTATTGTGGTTCTATTCATGAAAACATCTATGCCTACAGTAATATTTCCTTTTTTTTTTCCTTTTTGTAAGTACTGGGGATTGGACCAAAGGCCTTGCAAGGCTAACCACCGAGCTGTATCCCCAGCTCTTTTGTTGCTTTTTATTTGTGTATGAGGCTGGAGTGATGCTTGCAGAAGCTAGAAGAGGGCATCAGAGAGCCCAAATCTGGAGTTTCAGAAGGTTTTGAGCTACTCAACACAAGTTTGGGAATCAAATTTGAGTCTTCTAGAAGAGCAACAATTGCTCTTAACCACTCCAGCACCTTTTTGCTTTTTTATGACAGAGTAACACTGAATCCTCTGGCCTCCAATGTACAACTAGACCCAGCTTAAAAAACGCTTGACAAAAAAAAAAGCTTGACAAAAAGAAATAATGATTTACTATAGGGCATGTTTCAATTTTTAGCACTACTAAACATGTACATGTATGTTCATTACAAACTTAAGTACACTGTTTTTCACTTTAGTAATAGTTATTTTAAACAATACTGATAGTGGCCATTGCTGTATACCTTGGTTCGTTTAGCCCTTTCTTAAATTTGGTAATAGGAACTCTGCCCAAGTATCTACACACCTATTCAGCTCTTGCTTCCTGTGTTCCTAGGCTGCTGCTGTCATGTGATCTTTCAGTGAAACAATAACACTTCACTATGTGAATGTTATCACTCAGTCTCTTTCATTGCCACACACACAATCCAATGATTCTGAGTGAAATCTTCCTTTTGTGCACTTGGCATAAATGGAATCATTGTTTACAGATGTGCTGCTTGTAAGATTTTTCTCTATCATCTGGATTTGATCTGTTTCCTTCTGTGGTCTTTAATCTTCCAGGGAGACCTTCCTATCTTCCCGATTATCTTATAGACATTGTTTTTTATATTTGGAATATGCTGATAAAAGCTCAAAGGATGAGTTTTGTTAAGTTGCTTCCAGTGAACTCTTGTTTGGCATAAGTGGTTTTCTTCCATTTAGGGCTTCTGGAGGCTAATCAATAGTTTTTCAAGGTTGTTTTCTTACTTTTCTTAAAGTCTGTTAAATAGAGGTGCTTAAACGTTCTGAGCACAAGTGGATAAGGCCTATTGACTTGGTCCACAGGGATCTCCTTGCTCTGTGCTGGCATAGTTATGCCTGAGAATCAGCAGCTTCAAACTCCTCCAGGACTAGAGCAGATGCCCTCAGCACACCACAGGATACCAAGTAACAGCAGCTGCCAAAGAGATGGGCCATGCCTGCTTTGTGAGAATTTAGTAGGCTAGCCGCAAATCTATAAAGTTTAAGACACATTCTTTGAGCAGCAGAGGCTGGAACTAGGTCCCTTTCTGAAAAAGGACAAGGCGGTCATTCCTTAGAAAAGGATAAGCCTCGAGAGATGATCAGTCCTCCTGAAAGCTAAGGCCAAGCTTCTAGAGCTCTGAGGACAGCTAACTAAAGATTACAGATCAGCACTACCTTCGGTAATTACAGGATCTGTGGATTACTCAGTTCACAGTTTGCATCACAAAGATCCACGAGAAAGCTACCTGAAACACTGGCTCACCTTTGCTTACTATTTGCTGAGTTATGTTAGCTCACCAAATTCCCCTTTCGAAAAGGTGTCATTATTTTGTTTTACTGCGCTGACCAACCTTTGGAGTAAGAGAGGCCAGTTTAATATGTCTAAGTATACTATTATACAAGTTGGCGAAGCTTAATTCCATCTGCCCATATTTTTCCCAAGCTCAAGTTAATGCTTACCCAAAGTCAGGAGTCATATGAAAGGTTTTAGTTCTGTAATACCGAATCTGTCTTCTGTTGACTTCCCTGATCTGCTCAACTTCACTTTACTGTCCTAAGATTTTTCTTTTAATCTTCCTGCATTTTCTTAGGACTTACATAATTTAACCGTTACCCCATTTTACCTCTTTGTGAAAGGATCTATGTCTCAAAGTCTTGATTTAAATGGGTCCCTGGGCAAACAATTTTTAATGACGACAAGTTGCCTTTTTTTTTTTTTTTTTTTTTTTTTTTTTGTAAGTAGACTTACTTTGCTTACAGAGTACACGTTTATAAGAAAGTCTCTAAATAGAAGTGCTAATAAATCCTAAAATGCAGCACACAGAGGACAAGGGCCCAACTTGGTCCTTATGATTTCTGCAATCTAACGTGTAGAAAAACAGGAAACAAAAGCCTTCAGTGTTACTGGAAAGCTGAGTTCTGCAAAGCAGGTAAGGTCCTGTTTACCCTTCCTAGAGCAGAAAGGGTTTCAGAAGATGAAAACTGTTCGTGTATGGCGCAGAAACTATTGCGCCGAAGCTTAGAGGCCTAGATTAAAAGGACACTGGAATAGGATTGAAGAGCAACAAAAGGGGAAAGCTTAGCTTTTGACGCAAAAGAAAAAAAAAATTGCATCAGTCCTTGACAAAGCTGAAGATTTTTTCATTTTAAAAACGCTTCCCCTTAGCCAAAGCTAACCTTTCATTATCTGTGAGCGAGCAGCAGTACAAAGGGTGCATGTGATTTCGAAATCCCACAGTCGAGCCAACTGCAGTTGCCAGCATCAGCAGTTTGGGGGGGGGGGGGGGGGGCAACCAAAAAAGAGAACGGGAAGAAAGACTCGGGGAGCAACTAGGCTTCACTTGCCTCAGAAAAAGAAAAAAGACGCTTCCCGCGTTCAAGGCTCAACTCTGGGAGAGCCTTCCCACGTGCAAGTGCGGGTAGTGACGAGAATCCCCGGTCCCAGCGTGGGGCCGGGCCCGCGCGGTGAGTCACCCGCCCAGCGGTCATGCGACATCAAGATGGGGTGATGACGGAGATTGCGGGGCGCAGGGGCTGCGGAAAGCCGCCGGCCGGCGCGACAGGGCCGCGGCCTCGGGCGTTCCCAGCCGCGGCGAGGCGGAGGCTCGGGAGGCGAGCGCGCTTTCGGAGCGGCGAGGGGCAGCCCGCGCGCCGCGCCATTCAGCAACCGGTTCGCACCGGCGGCCGCCGCCGGCGGTGACGTCGCCGCCGGCCCCGCCCCGCGCCGCGGCGTCCCGCGCCGTGATTGGCCGCCGCCGGTGCGCACGTCCCGCCGGCTATAAAGGGGCGGGCTTGTGACGCAAGGGCGCCTGGGCGCGCGCATTGGCTCTGGGCTGCGGCCGGCTCGGCGACGCTCCTCGGGCCGCTCACTGCATGGTCGTCTGGTGCCCCCGCCGCCTGCATCGCCGCCGCCGCCGCCGCCGCCCCGCGACGCCCACCGCCGCCTGCCCTGCCGCCGCCGCCTGCGCCGCCTCGGGACCGGCTGTATGATTAGGCCACAATCTTCAATGAGTAGACATATTCCTGTGAGTACCGCGGGC